TATTATTTTTTATTTCTATATCATTTATAATATAATGATATATAAATTATAATATATATTTTTCTTTTCTTTTAAATTTTCAGGTGAAATATTACCTGGATATTTATGTTTGAAATGTATCTGTTCATGAAAAATAAAGTTTCCAGAAAATGGAAATCTCTGTAATTCAAAAGAAAATCACCAAAATCACGAGGAAAATATGTATATATAAAAATATGTATATGTTTTGAATAAACAAATATTTTTATTATTATTATTGTCATGGCAGTTAAGCATACGTTTCATTTGAAATGTATTTGTTTATTTGAAAATAGAACAAAAAATAGTCTAAACAGGCTGATTTTGGATAAAATATAAAAACTATAATATAAAAATGCATATATACTGTATATATAATTAACTTTAATTTGATTGTGTAAATGAAAATTAACAGAACTATAATAATGTGATATTTTATAACTAGAATATAATTATATAATATATAAATATACTAATATATTCAAATTGTAAAATATTATTATTTTCAATTTTTAGGGTGAAAAATAATCAGGACATTTATTTTTGTGATTGAAAATTAACAGAAAATTTAAATGACTGAACTTTTTTCTTTTTTTTTTTTTAAACAGCTGGAAATATCTCAGAAACATCCAGATATTTATGCAGTTCCCCACAAGCCAAAACCAAACCAAAACAGGCCTCAACCAATTGGGTAAGTTTGCTCTTGGGCCTTTTTTCCCACTAATGCTCACTAATTCTCTAAAGTGTTGATGTGCTGTTTTGTTGAACGGGCCGTCCCATCAGTAATGGCTCTGTTCCCTTCAGCTCCAGCTCAAACTCTGAGTCCCACAGCTCCTCTAAAGCGCTGTATTCAGAGAGCCGCTCTCACCACCGCACCGATGATGATGATGAAGATGATGAAGAGTATCGCCGGCAGCTGGCCGACCAAACCCGCAGAGGCTACTACAATCCCCAGAAATACAGCGACACTGAACTCTAACACCCAGCGTCCCACAGACATTCACAGCAGAACAAGCCGAGTCTCTTCACCGCGTCCGTCTGTGTCGGGATGTTTCCTGTGCATGTCATTATAAACCAAATCAGTGTGTTTCTAGTAGTTGTGTGAGTAAGAGGGACTGTCATGAACCACAGATAAAGCACAAACACACATGCAGTATAAACATGCCATTTATAAAACAGCATCTTTTTATACCTGCAATGTTTTTATATGAAATTTCAGTGTATATTTTTAGCTCCTCTAAAGCGCTGTATTCAGAGAGCCGCTCTCACCACCGCACCGATGATGATGATGAAGATGATGAAGAGTATCGCCGGCAGCTGGCCGACCAAACCCGCAGAGGCTACTACAATCCCCAGAAATACAGCGACACTGAACTCTAACACCCAGCGTCCCACAGACATTCACAGCAGAACAAGCCGAGTCTCTTCACCGCGTCCGTCTGTGTCGGGATGTTTCCTGTGCATGTCATTATAAACCAAATCAGTGTGTTTCTAGTAGTTGTGTGAGTAAGAGGGACTGTCATGAACCACAGATAAAGCACAAACACACATGCAGTATAAACATGCCATTTATAAAACAGCATCTTTTTATACCTGCAATGTTTTTATATGAAATTTCAGTGTATATTTCTTGGGGGTTTTTTTTTGTTTTTTCAGACTATTTGTACGTCTTTAGTTTTTATTTCTCCCACAATGCCATGCATCTGTTTCTGCTGAAAGCTACTAGATGGAGTTCACGTTACACTCTCCTCATTTACACTGCAGAAGTTTTCCATAAACCAAAGTGAAAGTGGGTTAAATGTTATTTTCCAAAATATTTGCTGAAGTGCCTTAATGTCATCGATCAATCATGTATTAACTTATGCTTAGCAAATGCTTGCTGCATATACTACTATGATATAATTGTTAAAAACTGGCTTATGATATAATGTCACATCAGTTTTTATATTGATTCTCTGAGATCATGTGTAATGTTCACACTATTGGTGTGTGTCTGTGATCAGTGCTTTGGGTTTAACCACTAATAAAACAGAGTTGTGGGATTTTTACATTTTAAAGACAAATAAATAAACCTGACTTTTAATGTTGTTACTTTGCTTGTCGTTGTTCATGCTTTCCTCACTATTGCTATTAAAACCCCAAACCATATGTAGAGCAGAATTTAACAGATTCTGAATTTTTGGGTATGTTTAAAATATATATATATATTTTATTTATAGTAATTAACATTTTAATTGTGCTATTATATTTATGTACAAAAGCTCTGCAATCTAAATGGTTGCAAATTTGTGCTACTGTGCAATTTTTTTTTTTTAAAGGCTTTTTATTTAGCAATGGTGCATTAAATTGATCGAATATTGAAGACTTACATTATTATTTTTAATTCTCACGATTTCTACATAAATATTAAGCAGCACAAATGTTATAAACATTAATCAAATATTTATGGGAATTATTAGAATGATTTCTGAAGGATCATGTGACACTGAAGATTGAAGTAATGATGCTGAAAATTCATCTTTGATCACAGAAATCAATTTCATTTTAGAATACATTCACATAGAAAACAGTTACTTGAAACTGTAATAATATTTACACATTATTTTATTGTATTTTTAATTAAATATATGGTTTTGTGAGCATAAGGGACTAAACTGCAGCATATTTTTCAGCTTTTTGAAATGTCCAATTGTTTAAAATTTTAGATTAAACTTCTACTAGTTTACTACGTTACTCTACTCATGAATGCTGCTGTTATTTATTAAAGAATTAACCAGAAAATAAATAAAAGTAAAGTCAGACTAATCTTGGGTGAAAAAGTAACCACCTATCAACCACACAGAAAACATATATGATATAAATGTGAACTATAGAAAATGCACATCTTTAATGAAAACAAAGCAACTTAAATATTTAGTTCATTGATTCCTTTACTTTGAGTTGCTTGATGAGAAGATTACAGTTCATACATCAGATCTGTGTCAATAACGGCTAGATTCCAATGTTCCTGTATTACTGTGCTCAGTGCCATTGATCTCTGTGATAGTTCAGGTCCAGTCGTGTGTCGAGCACATGATCGATCTGCATTCACTTCTCTTTGCTTCTAATGCCAGGCCTTCAGAGATCCGTCAAACCAGAGAGATTAAGGCAGGTCACATGGTGCTGGAATGGTTTGGTTTATGCACTAATGGAATAATAAATACATACATACATCCAGTTAAATAAATCTGTAAACAGTTATATTAATCTTTCAATAAGTAGTAACTCTGAATCAGCTCATGTGGAGGGGATGGTGTTGTAGCCCTGCAGAGTGTCAGATGTAGACGGGTTGTTCCTGGGCCGTGAGCAGGCGGTACATGGCTGCAGGCATAGTCTTCATATGGATCTGACAAAAACAACATATTGCAGTATTCACCTCTACTGGCTATCCATTCATGTGCTGTATTTTTATGATTATTGGAGTACTGAGTCATTAGCTTAGCACCATGCTAGCTTCAAAGCTGTAAACAGCCGTGTTATTATAGTAAACTAAGGCTGTTTACACAACACCATTTTTATTTAAAAAAACGGAAAACTGTTTATGCGTTTTGGCCATTCATTTACACGACAATGGTGCTTTGGGGGATTGAAAACGCAAACTTTTTAAAACAGGTTTCAAAGTGCACGTTTTTGAAAACAATACTGATATCATCTCTGTGTGAACTAGAAACTAGAAAACACAAATTTGTGAAAACGTTGACGTCATGCGCGTATGTATTACATGTTCAGTCTATAGGTTTGCGCGCAGATGCGTGTTGTTTCTTTACAAAGTGACGTCGCCAGCTACTGGCCTGGCATGAATAATACAGCTTTTTTAGTTGTTTTCACAGATCTGTATGAAAGAGCTCATTTTGACAACCCTGTCGTTTGTACACGAAACTCTTCTAAAAAAAAAACGCAAAGAAAAAACTTTTCTGTTTCAGTACATTGTTGTTGTGTTAACGCCTAAAACCCTAAAACCATATATATATATACTATATATATAGTTACTGGAAATAAAATGCATTTTAACAAATTAAATAAAATCTAAAAAACATATTTTATTTTATCTAGTTGCCAGAGCAACATTTCTAATTTTAAAATGAATAAAAGCTATAGACATTTTTTAAAAACTACTAAAAATGACAAATTCCACAAAAGTACTAAAACTTTATAATTAAAATGGAAAATATACTAATATAAATTATTCAAAATACTAATAAAAACTAAAATAGTATTTCAATGAAGTGCATCAATTTTCTCAATAAAGCGAAAATATCTTTTTGAATTAGGCCTCAGCCTCAGGTGATGCACTGCTGTTATAAAATGGCAGTAATAGCAATATGATGAAAGCCAACCAATATGGCATATATTTTGAAATGTATTAATAATCAGAATAAAGTCTCTGCCATACGTGTTCATCAGCAATTTACAGTTGCCAAGCAACATAGCAACTAAACTGTATATACAACATGCACATTTATAAGGAGTATGAGTCACAGATATGTGTTCATCGTGGCTCATCCAATCAGAATTTAAGAGTTGAAACTATCCAAAATCAGATTGAATAAAATCATGATCTCAAACTTGAAAACGTACATTTGTAAAATCTAATAAAACTAAAAAAAAAATTAATTTATAAAGCTGACTTAAAAACAGTAATAAGAAGCAGCATTTGACTAATTATTTATTTTTAGAAATAGTAAAATATTTCCTTAATTTTGCAAGACTTCAGACTTCTGAATTAGACTACTGAATTATGACTGATATTAAAGGGATAGTTCACCCAAAAATTAAAATTCAAAACCCGTAAGAGCAGAAACGTAGCAAGGAGATCGGTAAAATAATCCATGTGACATCAAGGGTTCAGCCGTAATTTTACGAAGCTACGAGAATACTTTTTGTGCGCCACGCGGATACGTTTTCTACATTGTACTTACGCTTTGATCTGAACGTAAACAACGTATCCGCGTGGCACAGCTGACACAGAACAGCATACGTTGTTTACGTTCAGTGGATATTCTCCAAAATGGTGCCAGGGTGACGCGGAGTAGACAAATTGTTGAATAAAGTCGTTATTTTTATTTTTGCGCACAAAAAGTATTCTCGTAGCTTCGTAAAATTACGGCTGAACCCCTGATGTCACATGGATTATTTTACCGATCTCCTTGCTACGTTTCTGGATCTTGATCGTGGTAGTAACCTTGCTGTCTATAGGGGGCGTCAGAGAGCTCTCAGAATTCATCAAAAATATCTTAATTTGTGTTCCGAAGATGAACGAAGCTCTTACGGGTTTGGAACGACATGAGGGTGAGTAATTAATGACAGAATTTTCATTTTGTGTGAACTATCCATTCAATGATGTTTTCATCCGATTTATTTAATTGAACCAATTTCTGATTTAGTCGTGTGACTGAAGTGATTCTCCAAACGAGCCGAGGCGGTGGTTTACCTCTCCCACAGCGTTTGACAGGATGTGAACGATCTTCTCGTGAGCTGTGGCCACCACGCTCTGACCGCTGATCTCGATGATGCGATGGCCGACGCGGACGCCTCCTCTCTCGGCGATCCCCCCTCGCATCAGACTGCAGATCTGAACAAAACACAAGCTCTGTCAGGCAGCAGCTGCTGCAGTAAAACGTCACACACTTCTCATGTTTTACTGTGAACACCCACAATGCCATTCTGCACACTGAAACCCAGCTGATAGCGCAGGTCTGGTCTGCGAATGAGCACCATGGTCACCGGAGGACACCTGACGATGTTCATCTTGATCCTGGATTGAGCCTTGAGCCCCTGAACTCACAACAGCATTTGTGGAAAAAATCAATCCCAGAATACACACTGACCTACTGTAAATGACAACAATCTATCCAAGATAGCAGAATACAGTCAATTTAAGTTCAACTCATTAAAAATGTGATTATTTTACACAACATTTGTGTGTGCTATGTATTTTTATGATAATTGGAGTACTGATTTGTATGGCAATATCAAACTCCTCTGGAATCATGTTGAAATGGCTAAAGCTTAAGCTAAAGGCTACAATGCTTGCAGATGTAATAAAAGATCAGAAATGTAAACGACAGTAAAAGATAGTCCTACTTTAATGATGCTCTGGCACGTGGAGAGCGGCAGGCCCACCAGACTGGTGCCGTTGACGGTCATGATCTGATTGCCGATGTTCAGTCTTCCAGACTTGGCCGCGGGTCCGCCGTGCATCAGGCTGGCGATGATGACCGTGGGGAGGATGGAGCCCCAGCCGGACTCCACGATTACCACGCCCAGAATCTCCCCTTTCTGCTTCTCGATGTACACCTGACACAAACACACCCCAAATACTGCTCACTGAACATACTCCAGCAGTGACTTTATTTAGTGAAAGTCCTATGGCTGCTGAAGAATGTATAGAAGATGATGAAGCCATTTGTGTCCCAATGACTCTTTATATAATTACAGGTAAAAGCGTAAATAATTAACTTGGTCATATTATTAGCTGGCCAATCAGAGCAGACTGCGCTTGTCGGAAGGAGGGACTTTGTAGAAAACGAAGCGTTTGAGAGAGGCGGGGCATAGAGGACCTACAATAATGTACAGTATTTGAAAAATAATGTGTTTTTTGAACATTAAAGCATGTCAACATATTCTGTTACACCAAATACACAAAATAATGATCTTTAAAAAAGCATCATATGACCCCTTTAATAGTTTTAATGCTGTTAGTGTGCATGGCAAAATTCATTTTAATGTAATCCAATCCTTTTATTTTAAAATGTTTGTTTGTCTTTACCAAATCTGCCAGTTTGCTGCATGGTTACCACTTCAAAAAGTCTAATTCTACCTACGTTTTGTTTTTGTCCAAATTTAAATAAAATCTATAAATGAATTTTTTTTTTTATCTAAAATTGTTATGCATATTATGGGAAAATGTAGAATGTGTTTTTGTTTCTGTTGTGCCATACACATTTCCACCTTAAAAAAATTATGGTTTGATATTCCTGGGATCATATTTGAAACAGTGACTTTTTTACCATGCTTCAATGAGTGTTTTTCTCTTATTATGCTTAAAATGGGCTTTACATTTTCCAAAGCGTCATTTCTTATTTCAATTCTGATTTATGAACAAAAAAATATACAGATTTTTTTTTTCCTTGGGAAACATTTTGACTGAGTAATATGTAGGAACAGATTTACTAACAGCTTGCACCAGCGCAAACCATCTTTTGGCATTAAAATAGTACTGTCAGGATTTACTAAAGACACGCAGTGATGAATTAGCGCTGAAAAGGCGTGGACACAGTTATTTTTGTGCCTGACCTTTTTGAATATGCATTTGTTTCCCTTTCAGCGCACAATTTATGGGAGGAGAGTATTTAAACGAATCATGCAACGCGATTTACTAAGATTTAAAGCTCGTCAAATTACTGGTATTTGCGGCATTATTTAACGGCAAAAAAAGCATGTCTTAAAGCAGGAGGTCATTTGCGCTGCTCTTGGTAGATTGCGTTGGTCATTATGGAAATGATCTGGTTGCGTCTGTGTTCTTTAATGTGTGCATTGTTAGTAAATCACATGCAGAATTTTCCCCTCCCATCGGCGCTTATGAAATTGTGCTCTAACGCTAATTTGCCCAGTTTAGTAAATCTGGCCCGTAGTGTGATATTTCCTATCTTAGCCATTTTAGAACTAATTGAACGTTTGTCATTGCGCGACATTTGCAAATTGAAATCTAAACAATGAATTTAAGTATATCAATTTCAAACTTCAAATTTCAATGCATATGATCTTCAAACAGGGTTGAAACATTTTAGTTTAGTTTGGCTTAGCAACAAATAAATACTTTAACTGTTGCTACTTTGCTGGGCTGTACACACATATTTAAAACTGGCATAATAGTCTTTTTGGGAATAAAGATTTAGCCACTGGAAAACCCAGAAAAAAAATGGAAAAAAGGAAATGAATTACTCAGCTATAGTCACTTTATGGCAACTGGTTAACTTACATCTCTGCAGTTTTCAGACTTGGAGAAGTGAATGAGGTCGTCGTTGTACATGTCCTGAGTGTTGAGCAGGTCGCTGTACTCTCTCTGGCTCAGGTCCTCTGGATCGATGCCATTGGCTCTCAGAAACTCCTGATACGCAACGCTGAAGGCCTGACCGATGGACTGAGCAATCAGCTGAGCCTGGCAGAGAGAAACGACGAAGGAAATACAGGAAACATCAAGAATTTGCATTCTTGCATGGTGTAAGAGTTCATACGCGAATGTCTTTAATTATTATCCAGGCTATACACACACACACAAATATATATATATATATATATATATATACACACATACTGTATAATAATCAAAAAACATGTTTTTTAAGCTACAATACAAAATACTTATATCATATTTTAAATAGTATTTCAAACAATGAATTTTATTCTTTCTTTCAAATTTTCTTCATTATGATATCAGGACATTGGTATCACCCCAACATTTTTCTCCAATAAAAATATTTAAAAAAAATTTTGTTCAGAAATCTTGAAATTAAAATTAAAATGTAAGAAACATGCAGTAGTGAGTCGCTTTACATGATGTCGGTCAGACTGTCGAAGTGTGCAGTTCTGCATCTACAGTGACAAGCCCGTCCAGCACAAGACATCTGAAGCTGTTCAACAGCAAATTCAAAGTGAGACGAGCATGAAAGTGATTCAAAGAGTGTTGAGCACCTGTGTGTAAGCGCTGAGCACTTTGATCCTCTGCGTCGATATGAAGAGGTCCACTTCTGTGCTGGCCGGTGGCCCACTCTCACTGCCCTGCTGATACTGTAGAGGAAGACACACAGTTATTATTCTTAAAATAGCACATCACTTCCTGTACTAGCATATACACTAGTCTCCCATAGAAGAGATGCTGTTAGATTTGAATCCCTTGCTACTTGTAATCATTAAAATGCCTGTCAATAGAAAAAGAACAGCAAAAAATACATAATACTGCAAATACCAAACGGTCAAATAAAGCCTACAAACATAAAAGGGCATGGTGGGCGTCTCAGACGCAGCGCGATTGGTTTGGAGATGAAGGATACGCCCAGATGAAATAAAACAGGATCATTTGGCTGAAGGGGAGGGTGGGATGTTGGTATCGTGATAGGCTGAAGCTTTGTGGGAAACACTATCAAAATTTGGGCTGTGATCAGAATGACATCAGCGGCCCCAGAGACAAAACCTGACTCTCACAATCAACTAACTGTCACTCAGATTTGTTTGTTAGCACATGGATGCTAGATATCCAGAGATATTTGTGACATGTTTTTCACCCATAACCTCACATAACCTTAGATGAGTAGCATCATATGACCCCTTTAAGACCCGCATGAATACAGGAACAAATAGCATACCTTATTTCTGATTTTGGCCTGTGTCTGGGCTGTCTGCTCGACAAGGGACAAATAAAAACAGAGAACGGTCAAATAAAGCCTACAAACATAAAAGGGCATGGTGGGCGTCTCAGACGCAGCGCGATTGGTTTGGAGATGAAGGATACGCCCAGATGAAATAAAACAGGATCATTTGGCTGAAGGGGAGGGTGGGATGTTGGTATCGTGATAGGCTGAAGCTTTGTGGGAAACACTATCAAAATTTGGGCTGTGATCAGAATGACATCAGGTGTTGGTGTGTACATGTTTGAGCACGCTGTAAAATCACAGCAGACAGGGACATCCGTCAGGGACGTCCCTGCTCTCTGTATACGGGTGTGCTGCTCACCCGGACGCGGCTCATGGCCTCCTGGGCCTGCTGCATGCGGGCGCTCTTCGTGGGCGTCCTCTCTGACAGCAGCTGGGTGGAACCCAGGTAGTTTGCAGCAAATATGATGCCGTCAATCAAGTCCGCAGGGTCACACGGGCCAGGAACTGAGGACACAAGCAGACCATAAATATAGCAGAGCATTAAACCTGTTATTGTGCATTATTTTTAGGTTTCAAATCAGTGAAGCCCTCTGAATGTGTTTGTAATTCTCATTCTTACATGACTCAAAATCTCAGTTCTGGTATCAGTATAATATTTTCAGGGTTTTGTTTTTTTTTAAGAAAAAAGGCAAAACAACAACTATATTGTGTATTTAAAAAATTTTTACCATTGAAGGAATACTTATAAAACACTTATATATTTATTCTTCATTCCTTTATTCATTTTTGAATAATGGTAATGAGAATCCAAGGGAAAATGTGCTGGTCGTGAAAATGTATCATATACATGCACATATTAAGTTACAGAATATAATATTATGTATATAAAAAAACAATACTTATATATAAAATAAATATTTATCTGTTTTAAATTCTATTTATAGTATGTAAATAATATTTAAAATAGTATTTAAAATAATATGTATTCATTTGTATTTCATTTTGAGGTAAAATATAACCTGGACATATTTTTGCCAGGCTTTGTGACACAAATTTACACACATTTGTATAGGTATAACTTTAAATACATTTAAATATAGTTGTGAAGATGAATTACAATCTTACAAGATTATTCAGGATAATAAATTCCTTATGAATCATAATAACAAGGAATAAATTCCTTATGAATACTTATGAATCATAATAGTCCTAAAAACAACAATGTTTGCATATATTCAGATATAACATAAAACAACTTTTTAAACAGTATATAAAATAATAATTCAAATACTTTTTATTCATAATTTTCCCTAGTAAAAAAGTAATAGATTTAAAATACATTTATTTCATACTAAGTAGAGTTCAAATCTATTAACATATTTACTGACATACTGTATCGCTCGAGACTTACTGATGTAAAAATTATAATTAAAGTTCATTTGGAGTACTACTTGTGCACAATGCACATTTCTTAATATTAATTTTTAGTATATAACATTTTAGTATATTTATTTTTCACTAGGGTATTAATATTTATAAATAATATACCTGGGCATATTTTTGACAAGCATTGTGAGAATGTGAGATTTACATGGAACTGAAATCTAAATATATTTGTATAGATGTAAAGATGGCTTACAATGTTACAAGTTTACGTAGGATAATGAATTATTTGACCAGTGTAATAAGAGCCTGCTTTCTTTAAACTTACCTTCAACATATGCAGGGAAAGAGGCCAAATTCTTCCTAGTCTGCAAACCAAAAACACAGTATTACTACAATTCACAGTAAAACTGTAAAAAAAAAATAGGGATAAAGATTGCATCATAAATATGTCAACTGCAGTCAAATATGATAATTCACCTCTTCACTCGGCACGCTGGGACTGACGTCTACATCCTGGTCCTGAAGATGAACTCCAGAGGATTCTGCTCCCAAAGGAAGTTCAGCATCTTGAATTCGAGCCTGTAAAAATGAAGGCAACCGCTGCTAGTAAACAATATTAAATGCTGCATTTTCACCACACTTGTTCTTCTTAACAATTTCATTGTAAATGCATGATTTGAATCACTTGATAAGTTGACGTTTTATCTAATTTACAGTAGAAATTATAAATTGCAAATATCAAATTATATCTAAAATCATATATTCCATGGTTTCTGTTCCTACTGTACACCTTATGTTGACTAAATAAATTCAATGACTTTTCCTGTCGTTCATGATTAGTGTAAGTGTATGATTTTAAAAAATTATAGCAATTTCACTAATTTCTAGTAGCTGAAATATTTTTACTAGTGCTGTCAAACCGCGATTAATCGCATCCAAAATAAAAGTTTTTGTTTACATAATATATGAGTGTGTACTGTGTTTATTTATTATGTATATATATAAATACAAACACATGCATGTATATATTTAAGAAAAATAGGCTGTTTATATATTAAATATTAGTGCTGTCAAAAGATTAATCGCATCCAAAATAAGTTTTTGTTTACATAATATGTGTGTGATCTGTGTATATTTATTACGTATATATAAATACAAACAAACGAATGTACATATTTAATAAATATATAAATGTATATGCATGTAAATATTTCCAAAATGTATACTGTATGTGTGTGTGTTTATATTTACATAATAAATATACACAGTACACACACATATATTATGTAAACAAAAACTTTTATTTTGGATGCGATTAATGGCGATTAATCGTTTGACAGCACTATTAAATATATTCATATAAAATATAAATATATACATGTAAATATTTTCTAAATATATACTGTATGTGTGTGTACTTATATATGCATAATAAATAAACACTGTACACACACATATATTATGTAAACAAAAACTTTTATTTTGGATGCGATTAATCGTTTGACAGCACTAATTTCTACATAAAGATAAGCATAACTCCATGTCTTTTCAAGGCATGGAAATGTAGAAAAATGTGTCTTTTACCAATTGTCCAAGGCTGCAGGAAACCTGTTGAAAAAAAATTTCTTTTGAATATTTGCCTAAAAACTCATTTACTTCATGTCTGTGGTTATAGAATTAAAAAAAAAAACTACAAAATCTTTGGTGTCATTCTGCAAAAATGTCAACTTGTGGCCTATTTAAAATAAACTTTCATATGAAACCTCACCGTAAGGAATTACAGTAATTATGCCGGACAGCTCACTCACCGCATACTGTGGAGAAGACAGCGATAGCTCACATGCAGACTGTGGATGTGAGGGAATCTGAGGCTGTAGCTGAGGATGGTTCTCCTCAACAGGGCTCAAATCCTGTCTCATCACCCACACGGGCTCTGTGATCTTATCAGGCGTGTAGGGCGAGCGCACCGTCTTGGTCTTCACCTCCTCGATAGCGTCCTTAATATCCTTGATGGCCAACGAGACAGCATCTCCTGTAGCTCTGCAAGACTCTGTTATCTGATCCTGGGCTAGAGTGGACGACTTGTCAGGTCTTTCCACGACTTCTACCTGCAAATCAGGTGAAAGCTGAGCAGTTTCTGAAGTCAGGAGATAAAAGGCTTCTTGAGAAAGGCTAGTCGAGCTTGACGTCTTCCTGACCTGGGCTCTGACTCTCCCTGAGCTTTCGGCTTCATCTCCTGACTGTTCATCGTAGTGGTGCAGCCTGGAGCCCACTGAACTAAGCTGACCGATGTCTTCCTGAGAGTCGCACTCATCCGTGGTCACGCTCTGGTTCCTCTCGTACATTTGAGGTCCCTCAAGGGCTGGATTAGGATCTGTTAGGTATGATTCTGTCAGAGAATCTGGGCTTAGTTGTGGGTAAGAATCAGAGCAGGCTTCAGGACTAGAGTCTGAGAGATCCTCTTGATGGTCTTCAACATGGGACATGGGACTCTCAAACCCTTTATCCTTGTTTGTTTGAGCGTAACCGATGTTAAAATGAGGAGGGTATGAGTTTGGGTCTGAATTGTAGCTTCGAAGAGTCTCAGGGAAGGTTCGTGGAGACTGGAAAAAAGGTTTGTTCATCATCTGGTGAGGAGATGTGGCGAATGGTGGAACGTCTACTCTTAGCGGACTGGTTCTTTTACTTTCAGGACGACTTTTTGAAGCCATCTTAGGAGGAGCATAGTCCTGCTCAGGAGTTTCTTTGAAATAGTCCTTTTCTTGGTTCTCTTTCGCCAGTTCCTCTTCACCAAATGTTGATTCTTCACTTTGAACCTTCTCCTCCAACTGTTCCATTGAAGACTCTGGATCACGATCAACTTGTGTATCAGATGAATGGGACAGATCTGGACTGTTTCCATCCAGTCTATCAGTGATTGGTTCATCCTGAGGAGGAGGAGTCAGCCGTTCTTGGGAGGAATCTTCTGGAGATAATGGCTTTGAAGCTTGTTCTTTTGGAGGAGTTTTGACCACCTCTTCTTCTTTGTGCTGTTGTCTATATCTGGGCTGATGGAGTCTCTCTCCACTTCGATGGTGTCTTGACGCCCCCGGTTTGGGCTGTTGGCCAGCTCTAGCTGATGTATCTCCACTCTCAGTCCGCCTGCGTTGTGCTTGACCGGGAGCATGCCGCCTACGGTGACGCGGTGGACCTCGGCTAGATCCAGACGTGTGCTGGTTGGCTTGGTGGTGATAGTGTTGATGGTGGTGGCCTTGGCCTTCTGCATCCGGATTGTGAAGCTGGCATGGTCTCCATCTGGGTCGACCTCCCTCTAGAGGCGTCCCATTGGGCTGCTTGCTGCGATGAGGGGGAGGACCTCTGAGACCCGCCTCCTCTGGCTCCTCCCTATGGCTCATGGCTCCGCCCACTCACTGCTCATCGCCTGAATGACAGCCAGAAATCATAAAGGTAGTATATCCAACAATATATATGGGAAAACATGTTATGGGAAGCAGATAAACTGTAAAATGTCCAAAAAAGCATACAGTCAAAGAAAAATTTATTCAGACACCTTCAACATTTCTCACATTATCATAGTTTATTCGCTATAGTTTAGAAAATGGTAATAAAATATGACAAGAACTCAGTTAAACTGTGTCAGAACAAATTCATCTTGACAATGTCAGATAACTTTGATAGAACGGTATGTAATGAATTAGGTTGAATAGCTGTCAGCTGTAAAATTTAAGTACACAATTAGATAATACCAATTTAGGTCTACCAATTACCAAGCGTGTACCAACAATAGTGTCTGAATAATTTTTGATCCCAAATTTTACTGGTAGTCCATTGTATGAAGAATTTTTGGATATAATTTGTCACAGTTTACTTTATTTTGCTATCCTCACTTACATAAATGAACTATAGTGTCCTGCACCCACTAATAAAAAAAAATATCAAAACATTATATCTGGTGTCTGAATAATTTTTGGTTTGACTGTATTAATATGATGATCTAACAGATATAAATGTAACTATAAATGCACTTAATGTCTAAACAAGCTATGTGACTCTTATATGTGTCTGTGTAATGACAGAGTAACACATTGCATTTGTGTTTCTGCGCAGAGACGTGGTTTATGGCAGTGGCGCTGTCACAGATGGCCTCACCGTGGGCAGCCATCATGCTGTTTACTCCACCGGTCCTGGAGTTCAGCAGATTCATCTGTCAAACCTCCCATAAAACCCAAAGCCAGGGGGCTTAACTCCCTATTTAAACAGAGATCTTCACTTTCACCATGCAACCTCTTTGTATTGTTTACAACTGAGAGCATGCATGCATATTAGAGTCACTCTGCAGTTCCGGTGGCAGGTGGTGTCACTCACTTTCTGATGGCAAAAAGTGGAACTACAATATACACTAATACAAAATAAGGGGAAAAAATAGAAAAAAAAGAGTAATTCAATTTGGTACCAGCTAGAAGTAAATGTATTTTTATTATTATTATTATTATTTTACATTCTATTTAGTATAACTGTGTATGAAATGACAAAGAATATCAATTTAACAATGTTAATGTAAATAATAGTACAAACAATAATATAATAAAATTAAATCACAGCGGGTACAGTAAAGCACAGTAGGTTTAATGAACATGAGTTTCATTTAAAAAAAAATGTAATTCAAGTCCTGCTTCAATTGTAAAATCCTGTTGTGGTTCAGAAAAAAAAACTTGACAGCTGGTTATAGCTGTGGCTAGAAAGTCACCGTTATGGGGCAACGTTTGGTGCCTGTATATTTTACAGTTCATATCTGATATCAGTAAGCCTTACCTTAAAATAGACTGAACTAGGCTACCTCAACAATACAGGTGGGTAAAACAAAAGGCCACATTTGAATTAAAATGAATCAAAACTGACCTTGAACCATAGCTAATAAATAAACATAAAAATAAAGATGATAGAAGGATGAATTAAACAATTTAAATGTAAAACAAAACACCATAAACGAAACGTAAATATAAAATATAATCAAATGTGATGCATCAGGTGAGGAATTTTGGAAACCTTTCACTGTAAATTACAAGGTAGCCTGTATTTTGTTTACAATATTTTAAAATACATGTACATCTTGTTGAATGTATACACTGTAAAAAAAATTCCGCAAAATTTACAGTAAAATACATGTAATGTCCAATATAGTTTTTCACCGTATATAGTAGGGGAATTTACCATTAACCATTTAACAGGTTTTTACTGTAGCATTTTTACAGTCTTTTACCGTTAAATTCACGGTCATTTTTTACAGTGTAGATATTCATCATAAATTAAAAGGGTGTTTTTTTCCCCCAATAGCAGTGAATAGTTTTTAACATACGATTACATATAATGTTCGGTCAAATCTATTATTATTGTTTCACTGCATATGTTCAAAAAACAGGTATTATTGTGGCATTTTTACATCAGCATTACAAACATTTTGCCTCTTACTCCTCTTAATATCAGAGAAATCCTCTAAATAAGTGAAAACCAACCGCCTTAACGCGAAACCCGCATTGCTTTTATTGTATCTGACCAAATGTCACGATTGTGGATGTATTTATTCACTGCTGCAGTCACGTACAGGTAGACACCGCTAACCATCTGGACATCTCGGCGCCTCGAACATTAAAAACTAGTGACATCTTCAATTAAACACAATAAAACGCCAAAATATGATTTACCAATGCAATCTGGAAACTTTCCCCCGGTAATAAAAGTTAAAAGCGTGTTATTTGGTAACGTAAGGGGCCTGCGCTGAGGCAAACACATCCCTCCCCGGCGAATTCATCAGCAGGTGCAGCTCCTGTGAAACACGACACAAAACAGCTGCGCACAGCATCAGCGCTTATACTCACCTGTTATGAACACAAGCGATGAAGAAGAGCTCTTCGGCTTGCCTTCATCTTCGTCGGTCGTTCTTATCAACACACTGGGATTAAGCGGCGGATCTCAGACCCCTCCTTCGGCACACAGTGACATCAGAGCGGATTATACGGCAGTAAATACCCTCTTAAACACAATAAAACGCCAAAATATGATTTACCAATGCAATCTGGAAACTTTCCCCCGGTAATAAAAGTTAAAAGCGTGTTATTTGGTAACGTAAGGGGCCTGCGCTGAGGCAAACACATCCCTCCCCGGCGAATTCATCAGCAGGTGCAGCTCCTGTGAAACACGACACAAAACAGCTGCGCACAGCATCAGCGCTTATACTCACCTGTTATGAACACAAGCGATGAAGAAGAGCTCTTCGGCTTGCCTTCATCTTCGTCGGTCGTTCTTATCAACACACTGGGATTAAGCGGCGGATCTCAGACCCCTCCTTCGGCACACAGTGACATCAGAGCGGATTATACGGCAGTAAATACCCTCCCCTGCCCCCAAACCATCCCGCAACAAATCGCACCATCTGTCTTGTGCTTTAGAGTCAGTGGCACTTCCTTTGCACATATTAATATGTTCAGAGGTTATTTTCTCTGTAAGAGCTCCAGACTCAGAATTTAATCTTCTGTGTAAGGGATGTGCGCACTGTTCATCACACTGAGAGACAAACTCAATTTAACCAAGTCAGACTACATTCGGTTGGTCGCTTCGTTTTTATTTCAGTCGCGTCGCGCTGGGTAGCCCCGCCCACAGTGAAATCTTATTGTTCCAATATGTAAATATTAGTGCTGTCAAACGATTAATCGCGATTAATCGCATCCAAAATAAACGTTTTTTTTTACATAATATATGTGTGTACTGTGTATATTTATTATGTATATATAAAGACACAATAAGACACATACAGCATATATTTTGAAAATATTTACATGTATATATTTATATTCATAGAAATTATATCCTATAAAAATATATTTAATATATAAACGTAACATATTTAAAAATATATATATACATGCATGTGTGTGTGTGTTTATATATACACAATATATATACACAGCACACACACACACATATTATGTAATCAAAACCTTTATTTTGGATGCGATTAATCGTGATTAAACGTTTGACAGCACTAGTAAATATGTGAATATGTAAAACACACGATTATTTATAAATTGAGTAAAGACAAAAATGTCAGTTTATATAAAGTATCTAAATATAAATGTATATTAAACTAATAAATTCATATACAGTATATTTATTTTTAATTATTTCTTATTCAAAAATGTAGTCTATCGCTTTGCATAATGATTTAAATAAACCTCAATATACTAACAAGGCATCTATATATGCCCATGTATCCTATTCTGGGAAAGCCTATAAATAATGCCTAAATGTCAGAAAGCAGCAGTATTGAGACCCTTTGGGAACATGCACATCCTTAAATCAATAAATGTTTGATAGAGTTTAAGGATTCTTCACTGATCCTTTCAGTACTGTAGCTGGAATGCAAATCTTTTATTTTCTTTACGGTATGAAGTATGCAGCAGGTGGCACTATTAAACAAAACTTGATCAAAATGTTACCACTTTTAAACATACAGGCCACTCACAAAGCTTCATAGGGGTTTTCTATGTCTATATAATAATAATAATAAATATTTGTTTTCTGTATTTATTCCGTATTTATTTTCTGTCACACAAAGGCTCGTTCTTGTTTTTGTTTAGTATATTGTATATATCTTTTTAAAAATAGCTTACTCTCTGATATTTTTCTTCAGATATAGCTTTTATAGCCCTATACTAGCTTCACATGAGGATACTGGTTTGCATGAGGACCACAGATAAGTTTGGTTTTCTTTATCATTTACTGTATTTACTTTATTTGACCACAAGTTCAGCACTATTAAAAACACCTGCCTGTTAGCCACGACAGGTCTTGTCACGCAAAAGAGCGTACATTTGCTCAGGTATTTGCTCAAGTATAATGTATCAATAATGTGGATGCAAAGGGAGGAACACAAAACCGGACCTAATTTGAAACAAATGTCAATTCTGAAATCAGCGATTGCGTATTCAGTTTAGTTCCCGGGACTCCCCTGGGGAACTACTTCTTCATGTGGTCAAGAATCCAGCCCTTCCCAATGAGTTCAGATAACCCAACATCCAGCCTCCTCTGGCCCCGTGTCACATTCTACACGCATTACATATTAATATCATCTTACCAAACATTGTCCGTTGACCACATTGTGTGACTTCAGCCTGTAATCATTTATGATTTAGCACATAACATCCAACGGTGTGACTTCATCCCCTAATTGTTTAAGAGTGTGTGCATGAATCAACACACTTCTTGAAAAAACTAGAGAGAAATGATAAAGGTTCTGTAAACTGAAATTGCACAGAATTTAACAACAGAGCATAGAATTAAAAAATTGCACCTAATACTGATTAACTGTACAGTAACCATTTTTTAAGTTTTTATTTAGTTTTATTTTAGACTATATTAACATCACAGCCACACAATAATTACTTGCTATTCAATAAAAAAAAGAAAATGTAAAATCCAATAATTCAGTGAAATCACAACATTAAAAATGCATTTTATAAATACCATTTAATAAACCCCATATTTTGTAAAATGTCAATTATATGCTCCGTCATGATGTTTCCAATAAATTGAATGAACTCATTTTGCAATATAATGGACTGTTTGGCACGTGACAGATGCTCAGTCATACTCTCACATGACATTTTCTTTGTAAAGTGGTGAAATGTGAAGGTCTGTTATCAGGAATGACTTTGATGTGAAATATGCTGTGCTTTTAAATGCTTGCATGACTCAAATCACTCCAGATCTTTCCAATATTAATCTGTTTCCCACTTTCTGAACATGTCTGCTTTTTTGAAGAAATGAGAGCCAAAAATGTGTAGTAACATGTATAAGTAACACAGGCCTTCATGATGATTCCAAAACCCACTTATTGCACTGTAAACTGTGATAATAAAGGAAGACAAGGTGTTACATTATTTTGAGAAAAGCTAGAAGACATCTGAATTATAGATTGTGGGATAGCTTTGATGATGTTATTATACTGTTTTCTGTCAAATAAATAAGATTTGGAACAAAAAGTTTCAAAAGACATAACTCATAATGGGTTTTTCTTTTCCAGATAAAATTAAAGTTAGCTAGGTTTATAGCTTTTATTGCATTTAACATGGCGAATACTTTGACAATCAGACAACCTGCAATATACATAATTAAAATAATTTTACAGAAAACTATTATGAGTACAGTTTTTAAGCTCATGAAGTGTACACAATTCAAATCACAAAAACACAATTTATTAATTCATGTGAAAACCTTTTATGGAGAAAAGAATGGAGCAAATACTATTAGAAATAATGCTGCCAAAAAAGTGAGTGCATGGCTATATTATAATAGGCTTTATCACTTCTGGTGTCAAAGTTGACAGAATAGCTATGTCTCATAGGAACTTAAGTAAAATGCAGATGTGCTCACATCACCAACAAATGTTTCAGAACCAGAACACACAGTTCTTACTGGATCCTTGCCTGAATAAAACGAGACGCAAGAGATATTTTGCTGCTCCTGATGGCACAGTGCCATAGTGGAAATACTTTACAACCCTCTGTCTGATTTCAAGATGTTACACAAATTTGAAGAGAGAAAACAAAGATCTGCTCCTTATGGATCTGATCTAAATATCCAGCTGATGAAAGTGATATTGATGCTATGGATTAGCGATATGAGAGTGTGTTTAGCGGTGAAGTGGTAAGGATAGGTAACCTCTGAATCTGGTCAACATTACTGAAACCCTCTCCTAATTCCCTCCCTTTTTCTTCTCCAGCAGCCCAGACAGAAGGATCACATCTGAGCTTCGGTTATACGCTGCCAGCTTGAAAGAAGGACAAGATGAGAGAATGAAGTCTAGATCTCTAGTTCCAGTGCTAAACCAGGTCTAATTTGATTGATTGGTTGCAGGACAAAACGTAGAAGAGAAGATGCTTCCTTTCTATCTTCTGAGCTTGATTGGTGAGTACTCATTGCAGTTAAGTTGTCTTTGTAGATCATTGTACACGCATAAGTGTGTGTTTCTGCTCTTTTCTCTCAGTGACAGCTAAAGCAGAGCTTCTGCCAGGCTCCTGCAGCTTTCAGGACAGCATATGTGACTATATGTCTGACCCCGACTTTCTCAGCTGGACCCTCGACCCTTCCGGTGAGTTCCAGCAGCCTGTCAATGAATGCATTGCTTTGTGAATCATTTGATGCCACTGTCACCATTAAATGAGTGGATGTCAGTGAACAGATTTGATTCATTTAATAGGAAGAAAAAAACAACAACATAAAAATGCAATTTTAATACACATCTTCTGTAATGAACATGGTTTTAATTAAATTTTACTTCAGTATGTTTTTGGGTGGCATAAAGTCAAAAATGTTAATGAAGATGGTATTGAGTAGTTTAGCATAATTTTTTTATTATTATTTCTCAGGAAATATATACTGTAGGCAGGCAGTGAAGCAGTTTATGTTAAAATTCTATGAACATTTGAAAAAAAATTGCCTCCAAAATCAGTGACCAAAAAAAAGTCATGTGGTGCAACCAATGTGCAGAAACATGTGATGACAAGACAAGGTTAGTGCAGATTGTAAGATGTCATGTGGTACAACCTTTACAAAATATCTTCATGGAACATGATCTTTACTTAATATCCTAATGATTTTTGGCATAAAAGAAAAATCGATAATTTTGACCCATACAATGTATTTTTGGCTATTGCTACAAATATACCCCAGCGACTTAAGATTGCTTTTGTGCTCCACGGTCACCTATATGAATAATTCATTATATTCATAAAAAACACTTTTACTTTAAAAGTATTTGAAAATGTATTTGAAAATAATGATTAAGATGAGTTATCAAGAATGTATGAGTGTGTATTCAAGGTGTAAGAAAAATATGTTATTACGTTTTCGATGGTTGCCCCATATGACATTTTTAGAGGTTTTTAAAGGTTTTTGGATTTATAAAAAGAAATAAAATGAAATTATAGTTTTTGAAAACCACTTAAAAGTCATCATGAATACAAACA